GATATGTCGTACAATCGTGCGGCGCGGTGTTAGTGTTACGGGGGGGAAAAATCATAACTTTTCCGTAACGAGTGATAAAAAGCTGATTCAAAATTCAAAATATTAAGGGAATAAATGTGTGCTTGATAGCTTTTAATCACTCTGTTTAAGACTGCTTAGAGTCTGGGTGCTGATAATTACCCGAGCCGGAGGCGAGGGTATTATCAGCACCCAGACTCTAAGCAGTCTTAAACAGAGTGATTAATATCGACCAAGCACATATTTATTCCCATTCATAAATACCTTTTCGGTAAAAAAAAATAAAGTAATTCGTTCAAAAAATCCCGATTTTGAACAACAAGTTCACTCCAGTTTTTTGAAACATCCCTCTAGCAAAATAATGGAGTGTTCAGCTGGCGAGTAAGATGTAAACAACCCTTTTATGGAGATTGACGCGCGCGTATCATGTTCTGCGCGATGTCGCGCAGAACGCACCTGGGGCGTTGCATTTTGTGAGTCCGAACTATAAAATTCGGACTCACTGGTAGTGTTGCGCATGCCTACGTGAGGATTGTGAACGTTCAACCAATGAAACGGTAAGAGGCACTGGATTTTTAGGAGTCCACATTTTATTGTGACACTGGAAAAGTGTTTAAGACCAGCTAGCCATGTCTTTATCATCCGTTTAAGACCAGCCACGTGACGGGCTCTCGACCAATAGGAATGGATAAACTGTCAGGTATTTATGAATGTTTATTTTATAAGGATTCTTATGATAGATTCGAAAAATTAAATTAGAGGTGTTAAAATAATAATATTTTGACACTACAAATTTCAGAATGTTTTCAATTTCATTGAATTTTTTTTATTTTCACTATTATATCTCTAGAATGCAAGCTCATATGAAACTAATTGAAACGTTATTGATTTTGTCGTGTGATTCTCTTTCCAATTATACCAAATTTTCCAGGGTTGTAAAAAAAAATCCAAAAAGTGCTTGACTCCCTGGTGGTCAGGGTGGTGGTAGGCCTACATTTTCACAAATAAATAGGGGCCTATGTAGGATTTTTTGAAAAAAAATTCAATAATTTATATCAATATTTCATTCACATATACTGCCCCAAAAAGTAAGAAGAAAGTGACCTTAAATACCTCACATTGCAACACAGAGCGTCTAGAATGCAAAATTTTTCGGGGCCCTTAAGCGGGCCCTGAACCCACGCCGCAAGGGCTTCGCGCTTCGCGCTCGCGGGGTCTGTTTTTGACCAAATTTATTTTACCACCTCACACCTTCCACCAACCCAGGGGAAACACTGGTGGGGGTACGGGAGCAAAATGGAAAAAAAGTTTGTGGCAAGCCTGGACACGTCGCTCTCGTTCTAAAAATAGTTGGGGGAAAATATAGGGGAATCCCCCACGTCAAATTTTTTAGAAATCTGACGTCAGGTTCGGGAGCAAAATGGAAAAATGTGTGCCAAGTCAGGGCCTGTCGCTCTGGTGTTAAAAAATAAATCTGTCGTTGCTAAAATGATGTGTGTCACCAACATGTGTCCTTGAAATTTGGCGTAAACAACGTGACCTTGAAACGTGTTGAGGCACGACACAAAAAATTGGTGTAAACAACATGACCTTGAAACTTGGTGTACACAATGTGACCTTGAAACTCGGGATAAACAATATAACCTTGAAACTCGGGATAAAAAAAAGGGGAATTTCCACTACAATTAAGCTCTTGTCGATTACAAAATAATTGATCTGTCCTCCGGAAAAAAATTAGAAAAAAATATATTATATTTTCTATATTAAATGGAGAGTAATATGTTCAGACCGACCGTCAAAGAATATTCTAAATGGAACAAAGCCACTCTGCGTGATTACGTCCAGCGATATAATATACCGCACAATGAAAATGTTTCTCTTACTCGTAAAGTCTACATCGAAGGGATAAAAAAGTATGAAAGTCAATTTAAAAACTTGACGAAAAAGACACTACATGAGCTCAAACAGATTGTAGACGAACAAAATCTAGAATACGTACCGACGGGTTATAAAGGACGATTTTTGAAAAAAGATCTAATCTCGGCGATTAAAACATACAGACAACCCGAAGACTTTGCAGAGTCAGCTTTTAGAGAAACGATAAGGTTTAAAAATTACTACAGAAACTGGGAATTAAACCCTAGACTTTATAACCACGATTTAATCAAGTTTTTTGATTCGCACAAGGAACAAATAGTCAATAAAATCAAGTCTGAATTGAGAGAGCTCAGATGTTTAAAAGTAGAGATTGTACTAAAATAAGGTATCGAAAAATCAAACCGAACGATATCATCAAAACGATCGAAGCTATTCATTATAGCAAGCCGAAAGCCGTTTTAAATCAAAGTCAAATAAAAAAGGTTTTAAAAGAAGAGATCGATGAGCTATTTAAAAAGGATGAAAGGTATACGAATCAAGGAATCGGGTTGGGTAGTCGATACAATCAACATCAACAGATATAAACGTTATACATCAACAAAAACGTTATACATCAACATCAACAGATATAATCCTGCGAGAGGTAGTTCTTACATAAACCTACCCGAACATCTTAAAATTAAACAGGCGATAATCAACGTACAAAACCAAGATAACGAGTGTTTGAGATGGTGTTTGAGAGCTGCCTTGGGGTTATACACGGACAAAGTAAAAAGTCAAATAAGAAATAATCCTAAATATAAAATCAACGAAAGCAGACCGTTGATTTACATCAAAGACGACGGACTCAAATTTAAAGGCGTTGACTTTCCGACACCGGTTGATCAGATACCCAAGATAGAAAGACAAAATAATTTATCGATAAACGTATACGGTTATGAGGGTGAGATATATACATTATACGTGTCTCAAAACTACGGGTCACGATAGATTGATCTGCTTTTGATTTCTAAAGGTGACAAGCATCACTATTGTTGGATAAAATATTTTACGAGGTTGATGTACAGCGTTACGAAACATAAATGTGTAAAATATTTTTGTCGAAGATATCTATGTCATTTTACCAGTCAAACAAAATTAGACAGACATATCGCCGATTGTAAGGGTATAGATGCACATCCATCAAAGATTGTATTTCCTATGGGTAAACCAAAATACATAGATGGACACTGCAAAGAGTCTTGAAATTGATTGATACTCGTTTCCATGTCGTCTACTGCATTGATGATATCTTCAACGATGACGTTAAATTGTCTCTGAGCGTCTAATCCGGTGCCTGGTGATAATACGCTCGTTTTTGTTTGAGCCTGCGCACCTAGTAAAGCGTACACGTAAGATCTGATCGATTCGTTGATCTTTATGATTCCCGCTGGGGTAAACAAACTCGTGTCGGGTATAAAATCTAACCAAGCCTTTTGTACCGATTCATTTTGTTCGATGTAAATAACCGTCTAAGGAACGTAACTGCTTCCACTCTTTTTAGGACTATCTAGACCGTGGTAGCCGCCGTAAATAACGTTGGGGTTGTCGGGTAATGCTTATTCCATTACAGAAAATACCTCACCTCTGTTTACCTACATTTGCATATCAGCGCGCATGCGCACAAACATTCGCTGAAAAGAATAGCGCCCAAGCCACACCCTCATTGTCCACTGCATGCCCCACGCCCACAAAGGACCCTTAGACCGTGGGCCAGAAATCCTATCTCGCCTAGAAAATGAAGTCCGTTAAAAATTTTTGGTGGCAAGAAAAAAATGCTTGTTCTTTGTCAATTCGAGGGTGCTGAATTCAATTCTTCCTGTTGCCGAGCTGTTAAGTGGCACGTTTAGTCACAATCCCCGTCCAAAGTTTGATCCCCCCCAAAAAATCTATTAGGGGCCCCTAGCGACCGATGGCGGTATCCATCCCCTTAAAGTTCTCAGAAACGGCTACTCCGATTCAAATGCAGATCGTCACCCACTTAGAATAATTAATGATTATTAACTTTATAGACTTGTAGGTTCATATACAAGGTGGTTTCTTAATTACATGTACTTTAATTAATATGCAAAAACAATGTTCATATGCTCATATATGTTTTATTGCAATTGGCACAGAAGGCATACATGTAACTGACTTTTCCATATAAGGCATGACTGACCTTTTCTGTAATTGTATACGACTGCATTATATAACTAACCTAAAACAGTTGTTATATTGATGCCAAGGAAAAATATCATATTAATGGTTTTATTGTTGTGATCATTAAATATGAAATTATGCACAAAATAACGCTTTGGCCATATTCAGTGTTTTTTATGCCAATAAATAGTTTGTTCAAGGTATCACTGAAATTTTGCATGTGAGGCTGAAAGTATTGAATTACATGTACATTTATGTCATTAATCCAAAATGAGCTGTCTCCAAATTTAACATAATTACATAATTATGGTAATTAATTGTGCAATTTTGCAACAAATTGGATTATAACAGCACTAAGTTTTAATCTTAAATGTTTATGGAAGGAAAAACTATTTGGAGAAGACTGACTTATTTCATTTACCTAAAATAAAGTCCTTGATGCAAGCAATAAATGGTAATTAATTCTCAAACTATCAACAAGTAACGCTAAGTTGACCACAGTCAACACTTTGTACCACCCAATTTTTTTTTGTTTCAAGATATCACCGAGTTTTCCATAACATATGAAGTTCAAAGACTTATTTGCAGATTACCAAATTATGTCATTTACCTAAAATAGAGTATTTGGTTCCAACAATGACCTAATTGGAAAGGTTTTATTTTGTGGTAATTAATTAATAAATAAGCAACAAATAAATCTTTGGCCATACTTAATATGTTCTTCTTAAAAAAAATTCTTCAAGGTATCCCTGAATTTGCCATTAACACAAAAATTAACTGTCTAGACCTGGAACTTCCATAATTCCAAATACATATATGTCATAATTATTGTAATAAAGTATGCAATTATGCAATAATGGATTGTCAAGGCATTACATATATTGAGTTTTTCACTTAAGTGTGGAGCTGTTGCGCTCGTTGCGCTCGTCTCAAGCATCAACTTGGGTCAACAGAAGGTGGAGCTGGAAGAACTATTTGTAGATGAGGAATTGTCATAAGCCTAAAAATATACTGTTGGAAACTGGAAATTTGCTGTAAAAAACAAACCAAAGAAATATTCTTCCTGAAAGACATGATGGCAAATCACGTTTCTGCTGTCTACACCATGCCAAAAAAAAAGCTATGCATATTTACAAGTACATGTAGAATGAGCAAACACATAAATATGGCTGATGATGAATACTGGTATGTAAACTTTTCCGTACTACGATAAGTCCCTGTGTCTATTCATCGTCTTCAATGTCACTTTCTTCGTCATCGCTGGACAGGCATTCGATGTCTTCAGTAGTGGTGTTCTCACAATCACTGCAACGACACAAGTCTGTACACGGCAAGTCGCCTGCCACACAAGAACAAATTCGTGACTTGCAATGTCCCTTCTTGCATTTACAAGAAATGTTTCGGAGGATAGTTGCATGCATATTAAGTTATCTAGTTTACATGAATATAATGTGATGGCATGCCCATTTATTTATTATTTTTTTAAGTATCCTAGTATTTTCTACAATTAAAGGCACTATATCCTACAATTAAGGGCACTATTACTGTGATCTGACTTTAGTCACACTCTTAATAATATTCCATAAAATAGGAAAATATTATCACCTTGCACATTGACTAGCTGCCATGCTCTAAATCAACAGAAAATAATCCAAACGTCTAGCCACTTTTTATGATAAAGAAGGTTCTGCATTGATTTTTTTTTTTTTGGGGGGGGGAGTAACACAACATTGGTGATAGCTTAAATGTCTTACCTTGATGTAATTCTTGTGGCATGATCTGTGATACCGGACTTCGATTGCCACCATGTCTTGACCTTAAATATCAAGAAGGATGGATTCATCATTGAGTAGTTAAGCAGCCTTGAGAAGTTGTCCACCTGAAAAATATAGTGAAAACAAAATCTGGTTCAAAGTGGTTTCAACAATTATGTGGAAATGTCTTTCCATTTATATGACATTATGGTGGTGTCACACTTTATATACATGTACATGTAATTATGACTGTACCTTTTTCATATTCACACTTTGTGAGTGGCTCTTTTTTCCGCGGTCCATATGGCGGCTGGATCCATTTGCTCTTCTTGCATATGATGCACTCCACTGGTAGAGCATGCCTGGTCCTTTGCTCTTTCTCTCCTGTGCGTCTTCTCTTGCGGGGGATTACCACATCTCCTGTGCCATCACCTCCTTCACTAGTTGAGCTCTTTTCCATCCTCAGTTTTGCTCGCTTTATTTTTGATACATTGCAGAATCTGTTGAAATGAGAACGAGACAGATGAAATATTTGGCAATGAAATGGCTGATTGGATTTAAATAATAGAGATCCGAAAGTTTCAGTTAAAAGTATGTTTGTAATCAAATCATACTTCTTGTAGAAGTAGAATTAATTATTTTCCCTTCGTAATCGATATCCCTCATGTCCGTGGCTCTTCAAAGAAAAATACAGAATGTCCGAAAACCAACCTGTCTATAGTCTGGCTCTTACAGCCATGGATCCCAACATTGAGTATTACAAGAACCAGACAATGCTATAAAGACTAACAACAGAGGTTGACAATTACGTTACAGCTGCTGTAACGATAGCCGGTGTGAAACAAATAAGTGAAAGATTCCCAGATCTGGCCATCACTAATTTTTCCCTTCAGTGACCTAACAGCCATCAGAAAGTAAAATCAGTCTTAAAACTTAGCAGGGAAAATATTGAAGTATTTACTGAGAACACAATTCCAAATTTTAAGACCAGTTTCATATGTTCTGACTGTAAAGGGTGACAAGTGATGGCCAAATATGGTTATCTTACCCCCAAAATACTCAATCATTGTCAGATTGTCATGTTTGTCCAATCCTATTTTATTTTCAATGTAGGCCCTACTAATAGCAAACACAACCTATTTATTTGCTTTAAAAAATGACTTCAGTTACGTATTAAAATAGTATAAATAGCCCCCCCCCCCCAACTACGATGATAACAATTAACATTCGACATGTTTGGAATTGGAAACTTACATCTGGCAGTGGTACTAGCAATGCCGGTACGGTCATGACGGTGGTAGCCGTACTCGGCCTTTGGTCGTTCGTTTTTCGCTATATCTTTGCTTTTTTGGGCAACTTCCCTCTCCTTTCCATCCAATTCTTGCCATTGCTGACAACAAGTTACAAACGTCTTCCAGCACGTCTCTGAAAATGGTGAAATTTAACCGCTTTCTTCGCCAACGTTGCAAACGCACGTCCTGCCGACGGGCGCCGCCATGTTCCTCCTGACATCCTCATCCCCGGGAAAATTAACGCAATTTTCTAAATCGGTTATGAAGCGCTGATTCGAGGTTGCAACATACCGCCCTCAATCGGCGTTCAAAAAAACATCGCCGACGCGACGGGAAAGTGGCAATTTTCTACCTTGATTTTCACATTAGTTTGCAGGGTTTTCTGCCGGCAACATCAAAAATATTAATCAGTGTCACAAAAGGAGTCCATTAGGAAAGAAAAAAAGTTGCCACCAAAAACTCCGAACGATTCTGCACGCTACGATTTCTGGCCCACGGTCTACCTGTAACGTAATAGCTCGTCCTAGTTTTTCAGCGACGCGTAGTGTAAAGACGTACATTTTTTGGCTGTTCTCGCTGTGATTACAAAATGGCGGACTCCGCCAAAACCAAGAAGAAAACTATCTCAAGCCGTTCTACCGGAAAGTCACCCTCTACTAGTCAATCCAAGCGTGATAATTCCTCTGCTACGACCGGGTCCAATCTCCCGGGTTCGACAGTTGGAATTTCTCCGGGGACCAATACTTCTCCGACGAGAGTTACGGCCACTCCCCGACAAATCCCGCATTCTTACGGCAGCCTACAGGAGCACATGGCTTCGGAACAACAGGTCGACTCGCATGTGCAGGCGGGACGGCGGGGCTTGGCGTTCGAAACCCAGCGGTCCCTCGGTAATCCGACCAGCCCCGCCAGGTCACAGAGGCTTGGGGCACCACCACCACCATCATCTTCATTCAGCCATACTACGGGTTCGTATTCACAACCTAGTTTTACAAGCGAATCTCGGCGAGATTTTCCTCATCATTCGGAGCCTCACACGTGGCAATTCGACCACAATACTCGCACTCCGTATCCACTCAGTGCACCATCCTACGACCCGCGGGTTTATCCCCAGACTTTTCCGATGGGATTTTCACACTATTACCCACCTTATCAGGGTAATTCTTCACATTCTCCGCGAGATCATGGCGTACCTTTCACAGAACAAAGACTCCGTTCTCCGCAACGCTTCGGTGAACACACCAGCCGGGCGGGGAGAGAACGCCGCGATTCATGGCGCCGTTCCCGGTCTCGTGCGCGGTCCCGCTCGGACTCCGACGATCGACATCGGCGCCGACATCGTTCTTCTCGTCATGATCGTGATTACTCACGGTCGGATTCTGGTCATCGAAGCCGACACTCACGTTCTAGATCTCCTTCAAGGTCTTCTTTTTCCTCGGGCCGGACAGTGGATGAAGATAGTCTCTCCAATGCCCAACAGGCTAATCTTACGATGACGGAAGTGGGTAAGATCCTTCAGTTTCCACCCCCTTCCCCAGACGAATCTACTTTTCCTTCATTTCGCAGAGATTCTGGTACACGTAAATTTAGGCCTTCGCAGCCCACTTTTCCTATTGATAGATTGTGTGCTGACACTATGAATGAGTCCCTTAGTCAGGTGCATAGCAAACAAACTCTCTCTCGTGGCCAGAGCAGGTTTGCAGGCATGTTCAACACCAATAAAGCGGACACTGATAGATTTTTCTCTACCCCTTCCTTGTCTTCTGAGGCCAAAGACTTGCTGAGACGTGAGAATCCGCTATCTCAAAAGTTTTTTGATGCTAAGACGAATACACTTAACAAAAGATTTGCCTACTTGGATAGCCATATGCGTCAAGGGGCCAAAGTGGCCTCTTTCTCCATCCTGTTATCGGATACCCTTGCTCGATGTTATGGAGATCCTTCCTTGTGTGAGCCATACAAGATATCCGAAATGTTCCATTTTTTGGATGATTGCCTAGGTTTTTGCCTCAAGGAATTTAGTTTAGGTTTCGCTTCGACTTCGTTGCTGCGACGTTCCCTTGTTGTAGACAAGTTGTCTCTCCCTTCACTTGGTGCAAAGGATCACATGCTAGGCCTTCCCCTGGCTGGGCGTGATCTTTTTGACAACAAGTTCGATGAGACTATGTTACATGAAGCCAAACGCCTTAAAGCTGAAGACAAGTTCGATTTTCGTCGGCGTTCAACCAAACGCCCCTCTACATTTGCCCCCAGTCAGCCCAGCAAGAAGAATCAACGCCCGTTTTCTACCGACAAGGGCTCCAACCAGTCCAAATTTCAGGGGCATCAGGCTTCTTCGTCTTCTTCCAGCTACACCAGGAGACAGCCCCCCAGATATTCGCGTCCCTTCAAGTCCCGGGGGTCGCGAGGTAACAAGGGCCTATGACAACAACACAGTTTTCATCCCTCCAGCTTCGGGTCCAGTAGGTGGTCGTCTTGGGGAGTTCAGTCAGAGATGGTCTCACATAACCTCAGATACTTGGGTTCTTCAAACGATCTCGACAGGGTACCGTCTGGAATTCACCAGCAACCCTCCTCTACAACCTCCAAGATGACCAACTCCTGTTCCCTCAGAGTCTGCACGCCGGGCGGCGTTGGAGAAGGAAATAATCTCTCTGATAGACAAGAACGCCATCATTCTGCTTCCAACGGGGTCCACTCTTGGCGTCACCTCAACCTTTTTCCTGGCACCGAAGAAGTCGGGCGATTGGCGACCCATCATCAACCTACGACCTCTCAACAGTTACATCAAACCCAAACACTTCCGCATGGAGACTCTTTCCACGGTCCTCCAGTCCCTGAAAAGGAATTGGTGGGCTACTTCCATCGATCTGAAGGATGCCTACCTTCATGTACCTATCCACGCAGATCATCAGAAGTTTCTCCAGTTTCTATACCAGGGTTCCGGGTACCAATTTCGTTGCCTACCATTCGGCCTCTCCACAGCCCCTCGGGTCTTTACGAGAATAGCCAAAGCAGTAGCAGCTTTCTTGCGTCAAAAGCAGATCCACATATTCCTGTATCTGGACGATTGGCTCATAGTAGGTCCGACCTTCCAGGACACAGTAGATGCCCTCCGACAGACTGTTCAACTTACCCTCAATCTCGGCTTCATCATCAATGTCGAGAAGTCGTCTCTGATTCCAACTCAACAACCGACCTATCTTGGAGCAGTTCTAGACATGACAACAGGCAGAGCGATGCCATCGGGGGAAAGATGTCAGACACTCTGGGATTGCATCGGAATTTTCAGGTCATCTCCAATCCTCCCAGCCAAAGCTTGGCTCCGCCTTCTGGGCCTCATGGCAAGTCTTGTCGACTTGGTTCCCTGGTGCAGGATGCACATGCGTCCCTTACAGCTTCATCTCCTGTACCACTTTCGCCCTCGCAAAGATCCTCTATCGAAGATGGTTCCAGTTACTCCGTTAATTATCGACAAGCTCCGGTGGTGGCTAGCTCCGAACAATCTCCTATGTGGAGTCGTGTTCCCTCGCCCCTCTCCAGCAGCAATCCTCACAACAGATGCTTCAACTCTGGGTTGGGGAGCTCACATGGACTATCTTTCACGGGCCGGCACATGGTCGATGGAAGAGAGTCTACTTCACATCAATCAACTAGAACTCCTGGCAGTGGACAAGGCTTTACGTTCCCTAGAGTCCGAAGTCCTCAACAAATTAGTTCTAGTCAAGTCAGACAACTCCACAGTAGTGTCTTACATCAACCGTCAGGGGGAACTCACTCCCCGTCTCTCTGCCTAGCCACTTGGGAGCTACTCAGCTGGTGCATTCCTCGTCAAATATCTCTTCAAGCCACCCATCTGGCCGGGAAGAAGAATATCCTCGCCGACGCCCTTTCCAGGGGTCGCGTCTCTCCGACAGAATGGTCTCTCCGCCCTCCTGTAGTCAAACACATCTTCAACGTACTCGGAACTCCACATGTGGACCTATTCGCATCTCACCTGAACAACCAGCTTCTAACCTTTTGCACCCGTCACACTCATCCTCTGGCGTGGAAGGTAGATGCCCTCAGCTTCGACTGGTCAGGAATGCATGCTCATGCCTTCCCCCCGATCTCTCTCATTCAACGGGTCCTGACAAAGATAGAGACGGAGCTATCCAGAGTAGTCCTCATAGCTCCATTTTGGCCAAGACAGCCATGGTTTCCTCGCCTTCTGGATCTCCTGGTTCACTCGCCCCTCATACTTCCCAACCGGCCAGACCTCCTGTCACAACCCGGGTCTCACATTCTGCATCCGGATCCATCCACTCTCCATCTTTGTGCCTGGATGCTCTCAAAGTCTCCTTCCGATCAGCGGGACTTTCGGAGGAAGCTACGTCCTTGGCAACCAAGAGCAGATGGAGATCCACCAGAAGAACTTATGATAGTAGACTTCTCCACTTCACCAAATGGTGTGAGGAGAGAGCTGTCAATCCCCGTTCTGCATCTGTAACCTCGATTGGGGATTTCTTTCTTCACCTTTTTAATTCAGGCCTTCAAATTTCAACTATTAAGGGCTACAGATCAGCTATTGGTGTCCTTCATCAGGGTTTCCATGATGGCACAACAACTTCATCCAATACATCAATTTCTCACATGATACGTGGTATGTTTAATGATCGGCCTCCTACCAGGAAGCTGATACCTTCATGGGATCTGGGCACCGTCCTGTTATCTCTCTCCAAACCTCCGTTTGAACCAGCAGGTAGTTCGTCCCTTCACCATCTTACAGTTAAAACCATATTTTTACTGGCTGCAGCTACAGCTCGCCGCAGAAGCGAACTCCATGCTCTGTCAGTGGAACCGGGCCATATTCGATGGGAACCTGGCGGTGTACGACTAATTCCAAGGGTAGGTTTTCTCACCAAGAATCAATCTATGGGTTTCTCACCACCCGACATATTTGTACCAAGTTTGACATCGTTCTCTTCAGTAGCAGAGGATAAATGGTGGTGCCCCGTGCGAGCGCTCAAGTACTACATTGCTCGCACCAAGCCCCTCAGAGGAGACATCAAGCAACTGTTTATTACGACCATCCAGCCTCATCACAAAGCCTCTGTGACCACGATCGCTCGATGGATTTCGGTGGCCATACAATGCCATTCCGACCATCGAGGATCGAAATCAGGAGCCCACGAGACACGCAGCATGTCGACTTCATGGGCCCATCTGCTTGGAGTTCCTCTTTCAGAGATTATGAAAGCGGCCTGCTGGAAAAATCCTTCGACTTTCACATCATGCTACCTGAAGGATGTCCTGCAAGCGGAGGGACACATGGGCAAGAAAGTCCTCCAAGAAACTGCACGATCAGCAGCCCGCTCAGCCCGCACAGCTCCTTTGAAATAGATAGGCAGCTCCCGGGTATGTCTAGACAACCTTTGCTTGTTATTTAGAATTGCATGTAGGCCTAGTTTAGACTTTCAAGTACCACTGCATGTCCCTTTCCCCCCCCCCCCCTTGGAACTTTCGGTGCTACTCTGCAAATGTAGGTAAACAGAGGTGAGGTATTTTCTGTAATGGAATTCGTAAAATCCAAAGGGATTTTCCATTCTAGTAAGAAAATACTCACCTCTGTTTACCATCCCTCCCTTAAAAAAAAAAAAAAAAAAAAAAAAAAAATAGGACAAGCTATTACGTTACAGGGTCCTTTGTGGGCGTGGGGCATGCAGTGGACAATGAGGGTGTGGCTTGGGCGCTATTCTTTTCAGCGAATGTTTGTGCGCATGCGCGCTGATATGCAAATGTAGGTAAACAGAGGTGAGTATTTTCTTACTAGAATGGAAAATCCCTTTGGATTTTAGGAAATCGTATTCGCCAACTGCCACAAACTTGCCCTTATTAAAGATGTACGAGGTACCTAAACCTTTAGATTTTGTGTCTCTCGTCTGTTTAAAAGACTTGTTTTGATCTATGCCAAACAACAAACAGGTATCGGTAAATGCTCTGTGATTATAACTGTTGTCTAGAGCGTTAAATGCGTCATCTCCCGGTAAAGGAGCGGCAAAGTCGTATAGGATCTTTCTAACCGTAAAATATAAATGAAAGTTAAAGATGGCCCAAACGTAACGGTTGCTCGCGTTTAAAAGATCGAATCCAACACCGCAGCCCGTAGTAGCGCAGTAGATCGCAAAATTTAACTGATTTTGATAAAACGACATGGGCTGTGATTTCCAACGATCTACATCCTCATCCGTCTCAACGTGAGGCAATTTATAGTCCGAGGTTAAGTCGGGAAACAAGCTTAAAAACCCGTTGGTATTATTAACTATGACCTCCAGTTCACTGGGATTAGTGCTGTTTAAAAACTTTGCTTGGGATGCAGCTTGATGCTTTAGCTCGGTTGCCTTGGCTACATTTTGATTTACTTGTTTCTTTATCTGATAAGCTATACCTTGTATCTGCTTTTTTAACGACTTAAACTCACTCATTATTTTAGTTTCAGACTTTAAAATAAATGCATTCGTTTCACTTGTTTCAAAATGAGCAGACGTTTAAATTAGAAGACTTCTTAGATAATTTAAACAGTCAAAAATCTGTACGCGTAAAAAGGGTGATGTTTAACCCCGGATATTTTAATATTTCCAGCGCCACGGAGATTGATTGGTATACGCAATCAATCAATATGGTCATTTACCGCCGTTACCAGCTGGAGTCACCGGTTCAGTCACCATCCCACCGGGGTGGTACGACGTCGATTGGTTCGATTTCATTTTAAATTCTATACCCGGGGTAAGTTTTCGAATATTTAGAGAATCTAAAAAGGTGACGGTGGTGGTAACCGACGTAAATTTCAAATTGCGCTTCAACAGAGAAGTCTCTCGATTACTTAATTTACCCAAAGGAAGACTGATACCCAAAGTGGTGTATACGGGGTCTTACAACGTTAATCCGTTTAAATTTTTGTTTATTCGCTGCCCGCAATTAAGTACGAATGAAAATTTCCTCGATGGTCGTCCGTCTGATATCTGATATGCTTGGGCAAGATTATGAATATGCATTATTTAGTTCATGACCTCGTGTTTGTATGGCCAGCCGTGCCGCGCGACCGACAAACGTCATAAACTGCAATGCATATTCATAATCTTGCCCAAGCACGCCTGTATCATGCATACATTACAACGTGGTCGCCATTTTGAAATCGCATGGAGGACATTTTCGGAACGATATTTGTGGAAGATGATGACTGAAAGTCGTCTTTTGGCCAGATGGATGAAAATATTGGGACCAAAGAATGCTTTTTCGAAAAGGTATGAGTTCCTCTACGACTAGGAACCTTAACTTTGGAAATTTTTGTCCTGGATGAGAAGATAATCTCGTTCAAAATTGGTAGCAAAATCGCTACGTCAGAGTTCAGAGTTTAGGGGAGCATTGAGCGTCTGGCCGTACTACAGAGCTTGCGATAGTACTGTACAGCCAGATGCAGTCGGGCTAATTTCATGCCTACATACTCTATGTGTCCTTATCTATTGATCTGGGGGTTCAGGAATTCCATATGTGATGCTGACCGACGTTAATCAGGAAAATAAACTCTAAAGCAACGTTAAACTGGTACGTTTTTGTAGTCTCTTTTCATCAGTTTATCACAGAGGCGTACGTCATGTACGTGTGCGTATGAAAGCGCACACGCACTAGCAAGCACTCTTTTGTTTAGTTTTGGTTGGAGCAGTGACGTCACTTCAGCCAACCGAAGTCACGAAAACGCTCAACCAATGACCAAAGCCGAAACATGTTTCTGGTAACTGTCACGAAAACACGCTCGGTCATTGGATAGGCGACCGCGCCTACAAGTTAGTATGCGTATGAGGGCTAATACTAAGCAAATCGCGCGTGCGCACTGCGCGTTCACGTTGCACGGCCGTACGCCAAGTACGATTAGACTCGGTCATCATTCTCCAACAAGGTAAAAATATTGAAGATTTTGGTCATAAGTTTTTTTGCCCGGTTTTGAGCACTTCATACCCTGGACTCCCTCAGTAACGTAGGGAGGAAAGGGAGCCCACCTGGGCTAGTGGTGTTCCCTAACGTGGCGTACTTCGACGTTTACCTGACTTTTCTCGTGAAGTGTTGCCAAACCTTTTTGGTGACAAACCTCAAATTCATGCAGTGAAATACTGGTACTTTGACCTTAATTATGCTCGCTATTTAACCTCTGTGAACAATTTCGGTTTCATGAAATTTAATCCGAAAAACAAAAACGGTGGTGTCCGGAAATTGGGCACAAATTGGCAGAGTGTTTCCTAACGTGGCGCACTTGAATAAATCTCGGAAAATTCCAAATTGACATTTAAAAATTCATGTAAAATTGATAGATTCTGATAAACTATTATTATCTCTACTTACATACCCAACCAGAAGTTTTCCAGAATTTTTTTTTCTTATTTTTTGGGGCATTTTCAAAGGGTTCACTTTGCACTTCAAAATAAAATCGGAAAATCATGCCAAAATAAATTTTTCTTCTTGCTTTGTAACGGGTAGATAAACTGGCGATTTATGAACGGGAGTGTTAAGAACTTGATGAAATTTCACTTTCTGTGAAATTTTCAGTTAAAACTTTTGCTCTAGCTAGGCGCTACAGGCGAAAAATGAAAGTGCGCCACGTTGGGGGCCGCGCCACGTTAGGGTACATCAACAAGATACCAGTACAGTAGCCCCACTTGTGTGGCCTTCGTATTGCTGCATAGCCTTGACCAAGGCTTGTTGCTTGTCGGACACTTCGCCCCATTTCCACTTCTTCCCATGTCACTTCGCCCCTAACTACTTCACCCCATCCCCACTTCGCCCCATTCCCACTTCGCCCCATCCCCACTTTGCCCCATTCCCCCTTCGCCCCATCCCCACTTCGCCCCATCCCCACTTCGCCCCATCCCCACTTCGCTCACGTCTAAATTGTAGGTCAGGCAGCCTCCATGGTTAAAAATAAACATGACGACATTGATGGCCCTTTTTTAAAGCTGGACTTTGTTTCCGATTTTGCTTGATCACTTTTTTTTAGCTTTTATTTAGGCACTTCAGTGGGGTGTCGAATTACAGGAGTCCAAAACCTCAACACATGCACACACAGAACCATGCACACAGGCTCAAATGTCCTGATGAACTTCGAAAATTCATAACAAAAAAAGTGCTAAACTGATCGTTTTCAAATTTGGAGACATTCATTCTGAGTATTTCCTGTGTACTTCCACTGAAAATTATTGTCAAATTCTATGTAGATCTGGTTTTATGGCGACAGAAGTAACGCAGTGCGTGTACTTCACGATCACCTTCTTGTGCCGATCTTGAAGGTCATGACCCGGCACCGCTTTTCGCAGCACTTCGTATGCACTCGGTTTCGGGGTGAATTTCGGAGGGAAACCGGGCGTTCTGATTGGCTGAAGAGTCTCATCGTGGGCTCTTCATAATAGATCCGAAGACCTGCTTTCACGTGGTGTGTGTTCCAGGTCGATCGGTTCACAGAGAGTGGAGATACGAACTTTTGAAAAATTCAGCATTGTTTTTCGAGATGAAAATTCATGTAATTTACCAGGGAACAAGGTGTGTGTAAAACATTGACATTCAAGCTTTATATTGATATAGGTGACAATGAATTTACGATTTGCGAAAATCAACGGAAAGGGAAATGAAAATGATGGCTCTTTTGGGGAGTTGCGTGTACGCACGTACTTTGTGTGTACGGTGTGCGTGCACTGACTGACCGCAGAATGCCTGCCTGGATGCCCTACGCGTACGCTGGCCGGTCGGCACTCGGCCACGTGGCATGCATGCAATGTGCTGTGCCCCCGTGCCGTGGGAGTCACGGGACAAATGTTGCATGGATCGTTTCGTCCATTTCTGCGTGCAATTGTGGAGCATTATTTCAGTGAAAACTTTCACCGGGGATAGTGAAAAGGGCCCTAGCTTATATTTGAGTGAAAATGAATAAAAAGATGTGAGTGACTGTCGTATTTTTTTCACCGTTTAGGACCGTTAATTCCGGTCATAAACTTCGCCCCCAAAATGGACTCGCAACCATTTCGCCCCATATTCATTGCCGTTAAAGTCTAACAGCCACATCGCCCCAATGTCAGTTCGCCCCAAATTTTTCTCGGCGTGTTTATTATCTGAAAATCATAAAACAGAAGGCTATATTCCGCTATCATCTTCAACATGTACATGTAATTCTTTTATCCTACTTGAGTACAGGGTAGAGTTTGTTTTTACAAAACTGCAACTTCCATAAAAAATGATAATGTTTTTATTCCTCCACCGGCGCTATAATTTACCAGCTGGTGTGTACTTAAGATTAATTAACTATAATTCGTTTATATAATTATATGAAAATTACATGCTTGGTTGTGTTACATTTCACA